AGCCCTATCTCATGGTGGTTATGGGAATTAAGTAGTGCTAGTGAAATACTAGAACAGTGCCGGTGTTATATCAGCAGTGTAGCTGTGCACGGTGGTTACAATTCAGAAAGCCCCACAGTGGGAATATCAAAGGCAAGATCAGGAACAAAAGCCAGATGGTGGGAGATTGGGTTCAGGACTTCTTAAAATAAAGAGTAAATATAATGGAGTGTAACAAACCCCAACAGGTAAATGCCATGCTTAGTTGAAGTCCACAAGCAAAACTGAGTTCAGAGAAGGTACAGAGCTAGGGTAGTTACATAAAAAAAGCTTATCCAAAATAGCAATGAACATTTGAATACTGTACAATGGCAATGACTGTTTAGAACAACTGGACTCTGTTTTGGCAGCCGTGTGTTTAGTTTATCCCAATAGAAATGTAAATATAGTTTTCTGGGAAACCTAAATGACAAGTTAAAGATCCTTAAATGTACATATCTTAAATTGTTATTTGATTATATTTTGAATCATTATATTATTGAAAGGCAACTTAATTTTACAGCATGAAAAAACTGAATTTTGGTTGATCTATACAGTTCCCAGTGTTCAAGCTGAAAATACTCAGAAATTGACTACCAATTACATAAATTCACATGTCACAGCCTCTAGAAAGAATCTTCTTTATCCGCACAGGCGACTCAGTTTTTAGACTTTGCTGTGTAGTAGAGTACCACTACTCCATTGGAGTGCTTGTACTTTGATGATGCTGTGAGGACTGAGAACATGTTTATTGCTCTGTTGTATTGCTCTTGGAGAACAGCCTTGTGATAACAGTATGGAAGCCAGGGGCAGTAATGTAACACCTATAATCCCAGTGTCAAATGGGGCAAAGGCAGGTTTGCTGACCCTTGGGGCCAGCCAGGGATCCTGTCTAAAAGCAAAATTAAGAAATATTCAATCTGGAGTAATGACATTAACTTTCTTGATTGCTTTCTCTTTTTATTTTGAATTTATTTTTATTAGTTCTTTGAGAAGTTATACAATGTGTTTGGTTGTATTCATTTCTCTTTGATTCCTCCAAAATCCACTTCCCCATTCCCTACCTTCCTTGTTTCTTGACTTACTGAACTAAATATATAATTTATAGTTATAAAATTTAAATTATTTAAATAAGAATTATATAGTGTGCATGTAGATAGTGAAAAAATGGAGGAGTAGAAACATTTACCAAGTTAGAAAGTATTTTCCTAATTTTAATTCAAGTATGATAAACTGCATGTGACATGTATACTTTGATCCCTTTTGACATGTTTATAAGCCTGTGAAGTGACCACTTCTACCTCCCCCAAAGTTTCCTCATGCCCTTTTGTAGTCTGCCACTCTTGCCAGCCCCATTCCCAGGCAACCACTGACCTGCCCTCTGTCACTGTTAATAAATGGCAACGTTGTTCAAGTATAATATCCAATCTTGAATAGGAGATAAGACACGTTCAAATATTTCTGTGGGAAAGTGAAATTAGTACAATTTATTTGGAGGGCACTTCACTAATGTAAAATTTAAAAAAAAGAGAGAATGTAAAAATGCATATCCTTTGAGTTAGATTTCTGCTTCCACTCAAAGGAAACAAATGTTCATGTGAACAAGGATTTAACAAGAAAGATCATCACTATGTTTGTAGCTGTCAAAATTAGAAAGAAATCCAATGTGCAGTGGGGTATATTTTTTTGTGTGTGTGTGTGTGTGTGTGTGTGTGTGTGTGTGTGTGTGTGTGTGTGTGTGTGTGTGTAAGTGTAAAATCCAGACATCTGTATGTACTGGGAAGAACTCTAACACTAAGCTGTTTCCCTATCTATTTCTTGGAACTCCCATAGTTCATGTAACCAAAATGCCATGTGCCATGGTCTAGCCTGTATCAGTCCTACCTACAGAGGCCATTTATTCTGGACTGATGTCTTTAGGATTGCAATTGGAGACATCCAAACAGCCTCCGATCCATCCCTGAGTGGAAGAGTGTGGACCTGGGGAACTCCTAGATACCCCGAGGCATTAAGGACATGACAGACACATCTTGTCATCTCAGGAGGGCTCTCAGTCCATGCTGGGGACTGGAGTCGACAGTTTATTCAAGCATCCTCTTAAATAGCCTTCCAACAGTGGGGGTGATCACAAAAGACATCTACTATCATGTTAAAGCTGATATCAAGTATTTCTTTTAATCCTAGAGGCACTCCTAAAACTGCACGTCCTCACCAACCTCTCAATAGTCCATAGGCACTTATACAAGCCGTCAGAATAGGTGTGGGCCCACCCAGGGCCTAGGTCTAATGGTATGCAAACTAGGAGACATTCTCCACTGAGGCAAAGCCATCTGGTTGTAACCAGCTGGATTTCTAAAAGACAAGGTCAGATTCGAGCTCCTGGGATAGAGTTTGAGACCTGTATCCAAAATACCAAAATTGATATATTCGGGCCCTGACAGCCATGCTTTTAAAATTAATATAGAATTGTTATTTTATAAACAACAAAATTCATGTAATAGTCTTGGATTTTGATGTTACCAAGTTACAACAAGTAAAAAGTATGCAAATGAAAAGGACTAAGAACATCTTTAGAGCAACCGATTTGTCTTCTGCTGGCTGTGGAGGTTATGCTGTGTTTTCTCCAGTTCCTTTTGTCTTCACATTTTTAAATCAAAACTTCTTTAGAATTAAAAAATACTAATACCTATTAATAAACAGAACTTGAAAACTAGCACAAAGATATAAAGAGCCCTATAAAATCTTTTTAAAGCTGGTTTTGTTGTGTGAAAGCACAAAGCTTTGATATGCTTTTTGAATCAGGGTACAGGAATGCTGCTTTGCCCTTGCAGTTCCCACACTCTACATCCTGTGGTGAGAATTGGGTAGACACCTGTTGGAGGTTTCTAGCAGCACAAACTCTCCCAGCCCATCCCGTGTCCATGCTGTCTGTCTGCCTTAGTTCTCTCCTCACTTCTGTGCCTAGTGGAACACATACTACATCTATTTTACTTTTCTTGCCCTATCAAGCTGTCAGTAACCTCAAGTCAGACAGTATTATTGGCACTATGTCCAGAATACACCAATTAGAATTGAAGTTACAAGCAGTGAGGAGTGGAGGAGAATGTGTGTACATGTGTATATAGCCATCAGCCTGGAGTATCAGAAAGTGTGTATGGAATGTAGGCTCTTCATAAAGAATTGGTAGGCCAGAATGGAGTGATAAGTTGTCAGAAGGGCTTCCTGTGTAATCTGAGGAAGTTTAACTACCAACCATAGTGTCAGTGATGGGAAACCAGTGCATGATGGGAGTAAGAGAATGATCTAGTCTTGGAAAGATAGTAGTCTATGAAGCCCAGGACCCTTCTTATCTCCACAAACTTCTTTTGATGAAAAATCTAGAAACTCGTCAAAAAAGGGTCCTGAACCCCAGGCAAACATGAAAATAGCCATGTGGTACTAGTTACACCAAAAGTGGTAGCAAAAAATTTAAATATCTCTGTGCTACTAGCCCGTGGCATTGTTCTCACAGTGAAGACAACCCTCCTACCAGCTCCCAGATTCTCCCTAAGAAGGAAAAAGATGCACCATGTGCCCATGCAGCCCCTGTTCTGAGGGCCACTCAGATTATTGGTTTCTGTTTAGACTGTGTGAGAATGCTAATGTATGTGGCATAGTCAGCCACCTGGGGGCATTGAGAAGAGAGAAAGGTGAGGGTTGTAATAGCCACTTCTCCTAGTCTAACCCAGAGCTGGCAGTTGAAACCCTCTCATGTCTAGAGAGAGAGAGCTTAGTGGTTTAAAGCATTTAATGCTCTTACGGAAGACCTGAGTTAGGCTGGCAGCACCACATCAGGTGGCTCACAAGTGCCTGGAACTGCAGTTCTAGAAATCCTACACCCTCTCTTACCTCCTTCCACATCCATATGTTATAATTTAAAATAAAAGTAAAAGGAGTTCACTATTTAAAATGACAGCAGTGACCTCCAATGGGACCTCACCGCAGCTCTGAGGAGTCTGCTATGCTGCCACCTGAGGCCATGTTGGTGTCATGGTCCATCCTGCTACTGGAGGCCACATTGGGGACTATTTTCCATGGTGTCACTAGGGAGCATGTTGAGGCTCTTGGTGTGTGCTGCTGCTGGAAACTACATCCACACTCCCACTGGCTGTTACAGGCAAGGAAGCGTCTTTGCCATGGCATCAATGACTGAGACTCATAATTGAGAAAGACATTGGCAGCTTTTGTGAATCCCCCCCCACAGAAGAAACAGTCTAGACAGAAAACCATTGAAGAGAGTCCTTAAACATTATGATGGGGTGCTTAAGAAGAAGCTCCTCATAGTTGATGGCTTCCCCAGAAGGACTCATGTATTTTTAAGGGGCTGGCCACAGGAAGATTGACCATGCTCTAGTGAATATAGAGGCAACACAAATTGGACTTGTGTATTTTTTCTTTTTTCTTTTTGTGGGGGAGGGGATATGGGTGGGTGGACCTGGGAAGAATGGGAAGCAAGTTTGATGGGGTACATTGTGTGAAATTCCTAAATAATCAATAAATGAATAAATGTTGAGGGGGAAGTAAAATCTTGAAAGAAAGAAACAAACAAACAAAAACTTCAGTGTCCAGAGTTGTCTGTGGAATGGCAATGTGAGCATTAGTGGACCACTGGATATTTAGGTTTGTGTCTCTGAAAATGATATTTGGACCGAGGCTGCCTTTATTTTGTCAGTTAATGCATATTTGGGAATGTTTCCTCTCTTGTATGAGTTTCAAGGTGAAGGTGGTACACATTCCCAGTCTTCTCCCCATTCAACTTTTACACCTAGTGTTCTGAATACATGCTGCAGCCTCTTCTACAGGCATGAGGAAGAGGCTTAATGGGCAGTTTCCTGTTCCATTTTAACTACAGCAAAAGAAGTCATTGACTTAATAATGCTATAAAGTGTTTCTGTTTTAATTATTTTAAGTGTACTAATACTGTGCCTTTATTTTATTCATAGCTCCAAAAGGAATTCTTCATCTTTCTCCTGATGTTTATCAAGAGATGGAAGCCAGCCGCCACAGAGTGACCTCTGGCACGACTCTAGGCTACTTGTCACCCAAAGATATGAACCAACCTTCAAGTTCTTTCTTCAGTATGTCTCCCTCATCGACTAGTTCAGCCACAGTTGCCAGGGAACTCCTTATGAATGGAACATCTCCTACAGCTGAAGCCATAGGTTTAAAAGGAAGTTCTCCTACTCCCCCTTGTTCTCCAGTACAGCCTTCAAAACAACTGGAATATTTAGCAAGGATTCAAGGCTTTCAGGTATGATTGAAAAGAAAAAACAAAAAGAGAAAGTACAACAACCCATCAGTCCCAAATCCTCCATTTCTGTCCATCAGAAGACTCATTCTTGCCTGCTTATGTGGCTTCCATGCCATTTACATTGTAAATTATTAGGAACACAGAAGACAGAAAAGAGAGCTGTAGCACATGCCTTGTTTTCTCTCACTTCTGTCCTGTAATTCTGATGCTACCTGGCTCTCTTCCGTATTCATATTCATGGTCACATTTACACTCTCACTCTCTCCCTTTCACTCACTTTCTCTTTTCCTTCTCTCCCTCTCCCCCATTCCCTCCATCTCTGCCTTCCCCCTCTGTCCTGTCTTCCTGTTGGTCTTGATTGGGTGCATCTGTTTTCCACAAATGAAATTCTGCCTTGAGACATTTGATGTTAGTGTTTTACATCACTTTCCCTCTTTTTACAATTATGTTGAGTTTTTCTGCTGATGATTGGATTTAATAGCAGTTTTGAATTTGCCATCTGCAGTTAGAGTAATGCAGGTACATTTGTAAGGTTCATCATCCTTGAAGCCTGTTTCCTTAGGATTCATTAAACATGGCACTAACAGTAACGGAATGCTTTCTAGTTGTTTGAGATATAATAATGAGAATCTGTTGTACTGGATCACATGCAGAGCCAGGGAGGTGGAGAAGCATCTACCTCTGGTGATACAACAGCTGTCTTGTGGTGTTCTCAAACCAGCATACAGCTGAATTGTGTGTATGGATTTGAGAATGAAGCTTTTTCCCTATTTATTCTTTTGTCTCCTTTGGAAGGAAAAATACCCTACAAAACCAACACTCCTTTCTATATATAAGAGCTTTTAAAAGAATTGATAACTGTAGGAAGGAAAGTTCATGTGTGCTGACTGGTAGTTGCCTTGAAAGATGTGCTCTGAAATGTAACTGCCAATCGACAGATGGAACTGCAGCTTGCCTTCGTGTAGAAAGACATGGCTCCCTACATACATTTCACTGTTTCACCCCTCTCCATCTTAGTCTTCCCCCTGAAGACCAAAACCTGTAATTTCCCATAGAAATGTTCTAGAAGATCTGTATTGTATAGAATGATCATGTATTATAAACGTTTCATGGGGTCAGTTATACAATGAGAAAGAAGATCATGTGTTGGGAGTATTTTGCATGTTTGGTTTGGTTTTCTTACTTTACAGATCCCTTCTGCTTCTTTAAACTCTATTGCCAGGTAGTTGCTAGTGTTTTTAAATCAGACTATTAATATGAAGTTGAAGAAGATGTTACCAATTATTGACTCTGTCATCTGAAATTTAAATGCTTAATTTTGGGTTATAATTTTAGAATTTGTTGTTTACCTTAAGAATTACAATAAATCACTGTTTAAACTAAAGGCTTTGATTCGTATAGTTAAAGTATCAGACTGATATTTAGTTCTACCAATAATCTACATAGGATAAATTAAAATAAACTGTGATGAAAAGAAACCCACTGCTCATTTATAAATGTAGTCCTTTAGAAATGGCTGCAAGTAATGCTCCGTTTCTGTACACACAGCACAAGTCACATTCATCTCTGAGTTGAGTTTTCCTTGGTTACGTAACAGCGCTATAATTTTGCTGCCAGAAGAACCAAAGTTTTAAGTTCTTTCTGCATTAGTTCTTGGCAATGATAATGGCTATAATTTTTATCCTATCTTCGCTTTAACCAATATGTGGTCTGCTACCCCCATGGCTGAGCTGGCTGTTTAGGCTGCTCTAAGAGCTTATGCTGAGGTAAGACACTCTTATTTATGGGCAAGTTAAACATTTCCAGATCTGTGTAACCTGATTTTACATACTAATGACTCTAAGCTGATGGTGTTTAAGTATCACTGTGCTTCTTCACTGGGTTAGGCTGGTGCTGATGGGAATGTGCTGCTGGTGGATCACAGCCTACAGCTGCACAGCAAATGGTCTCTCTGGGACGTGGACTCCAGTCTGTCACATGTGTTCCCATCATCATGACCCTGTAGAAGCTTGTTTGTGGTTAAGAGTATTAAAGCCTATTTCTCTTTGGTTAATTTTCTCAGGTAGAAAATCATATAGAATTTTTGTTTCTTACATAATTTAATTAGACTGTAGCTAGAAATTGTAAGACCAGCTTGTTAGAGATTATATGTCCTTCTGTTACTTTTATTTCTGGAATTTGATAAACAATAAATCCTTTTCTTTGTTCCTAGGTCAGTAACTTTTCATTTCATTCCACACTGAACAGCTGTCATTCTTACAGAATATTGTGTAGATTCTTCTTGGGCCTTCCTTTGCCATTGCAATTTGATCTAAACATAACTAAGATACTGTATGTGTTTTTTATACTGTATTGCCAAGTGGAAATACTTGAGTCTGTGAAAAAGTTCTTTAATATAATTTTATCTTCACTTCCCAGTCTTTAATTGAAATTTACAAATGACAAAAAGCTGATTTTCTCAGGCAAATGTAGGTATTAAGTTCAGATTTTTCTGTTTAAACCTGTAAAATAACTAAATGATTATTCAGTGAATATCCCTAACAAAACTGACTTCACAGAGCAGAGTGTGATCAATACCCACACATTCCTAGTCACCCTTTTATTCTCATCCCATCAAAGACTTTTGAATTTTATTTTAATGTGTGTGTATGCCTGTGTGTAGAGGATAATGCATGTTTGTGTAGATGCTCTTGGGGACCACAGGCATCCGATCCTCTGGAGGTGGGTCACAGATGGATGCTGGGAACTGGACTCACTCAGGTCCTGTATAGGAGCAATATGCTCTCAACTGAAAAGCTGTCTTTCTAGCTCCTACCACCAAAAGATTTTCAGTATTTCATTATTTTAGAAATATGCCTTTTGAACCCTTTCATAAATGAGTGCTTTTTTCTCTGAAGTTTTGAGTATGTTTAAATTACCTTTTTAAGGCTGAGCATTCTTGCTGATATGTCATTTTTAGAAAAATATTTGTATTAATGCTTTGTGAACCCCGGATATTATCTAACATAACCAGCCTTTTAACCCCTGCACATTTGAAAAACAAAAAGTCAAAGTTATAATTAAGTCATAGTACTGCAGTTTCTTGTAAACCTTGTTAGTCTTTAGTTACAATGCCACACTGTTTCAGAATTACTCAGTGTTAGAGGGAAAATTATGACAAAGATGTGTATTTGAGCTGAAGTAGAAGACTTTGCTTACATTGTACTTTGCATTATTCTAAGGCTTTGCCCTTTCCTATGCCTTCCTGTACTCACATTACTAGTAAATAGTAGAAGGATCAGTTGCTTGTTTAAAGGAGTTATTAGGAAAATTTAATTTGAAATGAAAATGAATAATTTTAGCAAATTGCTTTCCTAGATGTATTTCAGTTTGTTCTTCTCTGTACTCTGATCACCATTCACTGAAGGGTATCATTTGTGATTCCTTTAGAATAAAGTATATCATTTTATTCCTCATTTAAGTGATATAAGGAAGCACTTAATTGGGGTTTCAGTTAAACTGTATTAGTTTATTTTCTAAAATGTGAGTGTTAGATATTGATGCCATTTCTAGAAAAGAAGAATATGTACTTTTTTAAAAAAGATTTATTTATTTACTATGCATACAGTGTTCTGCCTGCATGTATGCTTGCAGGCCAGAAGAGGACATCAGATCTCGTTACAAATGGTTGTGAACCACCATGTGGTTGCTGGGAATTGAACTCAGAACCTCTGGAAGAGCAGGCGGTGCTCTTAACCCTTGAGCCATCTTTCCAGCCTTAAGAATATGTACTTAAACAGGAAACTTTCTCACACTTAATACATTTTATCTGCCTTCTCTTGAGAAGTTGCTGCTTTGAGTTCACTGTGATGGTCCAGGCTTTTCAGTGTTTACTTGTGGACAGTGTGACATTAATGCAGATTGCATTGTGATAGGGCACAGACAGGTGGGAGGGGCTAGGCTCCCTCAGAATCATCCTCTTCCTTTATAGTCGACACACAGGATACTTCATAATCTACTTTTCTAATCTTCATAGTGTCTGTTTACAGCAGGGTATTTTTGTTGGTGCTGGTAGAAGTGTTTGTTTTCTAAGACTGTATGTGTTTTTAAATGGACAATAAAAGTATAATTTTACAAATAGAATATGTAGAAAGAAGCCATTCATCTACACCTCACATAGAAATGTACCCCCATTTTACATTCTCCTTGCAACATAACATTCATTGTGTTACATCTGAGTTCAGATTTTCATCTAAGCTGTGATGCAGATCACAATGTAACATGGCAAGAAAGACACACATGTGGTTCTGGTCTGGGCTTAGCATATGCTGCTATCATTATCCGTTTCTCCTTGAAAGTGCCTCTTGGCTTTAACCTCAGCTGCTTTCCAAAGACTTGGAAAATCAGGCATGTATTTGGTCTTCCTGCAGTGACCTGAAACTAAGGAGTATTCTTTGGGCAACTTAAGTGACTTATTTTGTCAGATATTGTTAGACTTTATGCTGGCTCAACCCCTTGAAGTTTGCAAACTACACACCATATACTATTCAATAAAAGGGGTTATAGATCACCTCCATTGCAGAATTCCAGATCACCTTACTTTACAGAAATGTAAAGGACCATAAAGAAAAATCCCATGTTTGAAGAAAGAAATCCTGGTGTATATAAGAAAACATACTTTGATGAGTAACAGTTATACAGGTAAGAAACAAAGTCTTGAGTAAAAGCAGTCTGCAGTTTTGCACTACATTGTTCAGCACTGACCATATTCTAAATAGCTCTAATACATTTAATGGTATTATTTTCCCACATTAAAAAAAATAAAGAAGTACTTAGTGTTTTAGAACTCTAAAGGCAAAGACACTCATCTGGAGCCTTTCTGCACCGACATGTACATTGTAAGGTGCATAAGATATTTTAAAGGAAAGCTAGTATACAAGAAAGGTAGAGTCATTCCCATTACAGGGACTTCGGTATTCACCTGAAACAAGTGATTGGGTGCAGGAGAAAAATGGCTATCATCATGTATCCTCCCTAAGTAAAACAGACATTTTGTACATCAGAAGATATTTCATCTCAACATGAAGATTTTGCTATTTGAAAGTGTTTGAAGATAAAATATTTGAAGGAAATTTGTATTTTATTTTAATGTGGATTGTATTTATTTTTTGTAGAAAGATTAGCAATGATGTGGATTTTTTTTTTACCCAGTGACATGAGATTAATTATAGCACCCATTGTGGGGCTGCCAGTCATGTCAGGTTAAATGATTCCAGTGTTGCCCTTTTTTCCAACATTCAGTGCTATCTAAAGATGCCTAAATTTCCATATAGGTTGTTCTCTCCTCACACTAGGAAACTCTTTTTATTGCATTGATTGACTGGTTGGTTAGTTGGTTGGTTGGTTGGTTGGTTGGTTGGCTAGCTGGCTGGCTGGCTGGCTAGTTGCTTGATTGATTGGCTGGTTGGTTGGTTGACTGGTTGGTTAGTTGGTGAGGGTGGGGTTTATGTGTATATGATTTTGTGTGCATGTGAAGGTCAGAAGAGTCTCCATTCTTTCCTTCCATCATGTAAACTCCAGGGATTGAACTCAGGTCATCAAACTTGGTTGCAGGTGTCTTTACCATCTCACCAGACTACATAAAAAGAAAAAGAAAAAAAGAAAAAGAAAACACTCTATGGAATAACAAATATGAAAGATTCTTCAAACTCAAAAAAAAAAAACCCAAACCACCTACCTACCTTAACACTTGGGGGGTATGTGCCTATTTAGGAGACACAAGGATATAAAAGGGAAGTAAACTGATATTTATGGACTGGCTTATAATATACATTGATAAAGGTGTTATGTACATTATGTCAGAAGTGCCTGGTACATTTGTGCTTGGAAATCTTTTGTTGTTGTTGTTTACTTTTTTTTCCTAATTTTAAACTATAATAGTTGTATAGTGTTTGAAAGCTGGTCTCTGTAGTAGGGCTAGTGAGTGGTAGTAGCCTGTGATCTATGGATACTAGTTTCTTTTAACTAGAGGTCAATGATAAGTAGCTTTATTTCTGGCCTTAACTTTGCACAATTGGTCTGGGCCATCTAAAAATTTTGACTCTTTTGACCTGAAAGAGAATTTGGGTTCTGTTCTAAAATAAATGGTAGCACATGCCTTTGACCATATCATTTTAAGATGTGTTACATTTGTTTATGCTGTGTAACATTTGTTTAATGGTGCAAAGATGTGTTGCATTTGTTTAACTCTGAAGCTATGATTCTTTGCCTGTCTAAAACACCTGATGGTCTAATAAATAG